TCTGTCTTTCATTCCTGTTCCACTGCCTTACTCTCTGGATCTCAGTTCGTCAATCTTCGCTGCTCTATTTTAAAACTTATAAGCCGGCCCACTTCTGTCCCGTAGGGCGAATGTGGTTAAAATGGCCTGGCTGAATGAGAGAGGGCTGCCAACCTCACTTGGCTCTTGGATTTTTTTTTTTTTATGGAGCCATATGAAACCTAGATATTAAACAAAAAATGCAAGACACTCCCACTACCGCACCCCCCCCACCCCACCCATCAATACTGTGTCTGCTCAACAGTCTGCTCAGGATACCAGATTTATTTATCTTTGATGGGTTCCTTAGAACAAGTATCTCCCTAAAGAGATGCAGTTTTCCATTTGACATAATACTTGTATTTGGGGCACTTATTGGTAGCTGGTATTGGGACACATATGAACAAGGCAGTTTTCCTTGCAAGAAGTTCAGAGTCTACAACATGGGTGAAACTCGAGGTCACTAGGCTAAGTGAAATAAGCCAGTCACAAAAGGACAAATACTGTAGGATTCCATGTATATGTAAAATTCATAGAGACAGAAAGAGAGTGGTAGCAGCCAGGGCTTGGGGGAGGAGAGAATGGGGAGTTGTTGTTTAATGGGTACAGAGTTTTAATTTGAAAAGATGAAAAAGTTCTGGAGACGAGTGTGGTGATGGTTGTACAACAATGTGAATGTACTTAATACTACTGAACTGCACACTTAAAAATGGTTAAAATGATAAATTTCATGTTATATGTTTTTTTTTTACCACAATTAAAAGTTTTTAAATGAAAAAAAAGAAGCCCACAGTCTAGTAAGAGTTATCCATAGGCTTATACAGATAAGTCTTATAGTTAGAAAAAAGAATTAGAGGTTTCTTAGTCCAGTGTTTCAGAACTCAAACCTTTTTATTACTGGAACCCACAATAAAGAATTACATTTTATATAATAACTCGGTATGAATCGGATGATACTGATATATACACACACAGATGCACACATACGTAGTCACTGATACATACACACATACAGACATACACATGAATATACACATAACTGAAATATAAACATAAATATATACCTGAAAATATATAACAAAAATGGAATAGGAAACATCATTTACTCTACTAAATGGGATATGTTCTGACTTTTTTTCTAAACTATTGTATGACATCTTATTAAAAAAAAAAAAAACCTGTTACAATCCACAAGTTGACTTCGCAATCCACTTACGGATCTCAATCTGCAGTTTGAAAAACATAATCTAGACCAGTCTCCAACACAATGCAAAAATCTCCCTCGCCACTCTGCTGTGCAGTCCTCCAGATCCTGCTTGAATGCCTTCCTTGATAGGAAACTCACTGCCTACAATGCTCTATGGTGGGTCCATCTAGCAATTAAAGATCCTCACCCACTCCAAACCTGTCCCAAAAAGGCTGGGACCCGCAGATAGGTGCTCAGGCACTGTTGATGATAAGTGGGCTTCAAGGAGGGGTGAAGGCATAGTTCCAGAAAGCAAGGTGGGGGTTTGGGGAGAACTGAAGAGAGGGGGTTGGTTGGTCCTAGAGGGCCTCTGGGATATGCGAGCTCCCCTGATCAGACCTTTCCTTTCCCCTCTGCCTCCTCACTGCTCGCCTGGCACTGTGATTATTTCCTCATCTGACAGATGATCTCATTCCCCCAGCACCCTGACTCGCCGCCTGTGGGAGGGGTTGCCTCCCCCTAGAGGGGGCCTCAGCCACAGTAAAGGCTGATTCCCCCACCTTCCTTTTCAACCTGCCAGCTGCCCTGCAGGACTCCAGCCGGCTGTCCCTCCTGCTGTGCTCTTGGTCTTGAAACATGGGGTAACCCTGACCCAGTGTTTGAACATGGGCTGCCTGATATTTCTGAGTCCCCCTCAAGGGGTTCTGAAGACCTGCCCCTTTTCAGGACAATAGGACTCCTCCACACCTGCCTATGTCTTCCTGGGAGGAATAAAACAAAGACAGCACCACCACGTGGGGACAGAGCTGGCCGCTGGATATTAAATCCCAGGTCCCGCAGGAGAAGAGGACAGTGCCTATACTCCAGGCGAGGATGGTTGGCTGAGCTAGAAGGGACCTGGCTCAGCCATAGGCAGGGACCAGGGCGTGGCAGTTGCAGATTTACAGCCAGCCACCCTCCCCAGGTAAGATCAGGTTGACCTCAGTGCAGGGCGGGGCGAAGAGGAGGTAGTGATCTCATTGCATCCTTAGAACTAAGAGAAAAGAATCACCCAGTGCAGACAGAAGAGAAAGAAAAGAATGCTACAATGGGAAATGGAGAGGAGGAAAAGGGGCTGAGAAAGGAAATGTAAAACACACAGGGCAGCTTCTGGCTTGAAAGGGGTCCGGGGGTCGGAGCCAGCTCCAGGGAAGCCAGACTCTAAACAAAACCTTTCTCCCTCAGCAACAAAACATATTTTATGCAGAAAAAACACAATAGACATCTGACCCAGGCAATTCCTGCCAGTCCTCCCTCTCCTGAGCTCTGGCATAGAAGGACCATCTGTAGCTCATCCTCACCTCTCTGTCGAGCCATTCTTTTCTCCTCACACCATTTCTTCCAGGAATTGACAAAGTTTAATTGATTAAGTAAAACCAAAAGGCAGGACAATGGATGCCAGACCCCTGCTGTTTCTCCTCTCTGGGGCCGCTGTTTTTTTTTTTTTTTTTCTTTTGTCTAAAAAGCCTCAAATAATTTGCATTTCATTTCTACTTACCTGCAGTCCAGTTAGAAGCGAGCTGCTCCCTTCCTCACTCCCTCAATTAGTGGTACCCTGGGCTTCTCTCCACATCAGCACCACAGCTCAGCTCTTGCCATGACATCACCTCCGAGCTCTGTGATTGGCCAACAGTAGGTTGCTTGGCAATTGGACGGTCTCCTCTGGTGGAGCAGGGATTGCCTGAGTGAGTAACTCTTAGCAGGCCAGAGAGTGGAAGATGATGTCAGACAAGTAGCCTGCTTTCCATACTGCCTGTAGAGCTGGGGAACCAGAGGATGAGGGTGGGGATGAAGAAAGAAAGAGGGAGTGGTACGGGAAGGTGGGGGTGAAGGCACAGCTCGCAAGCTAAGCCACCCAGTGAGAGAGCACCTGAAGAGGGGGAATGATGAATGATTTCCAAAATCTTTAGCTCTTTCAAATCTGGGGGTGGGAGAATATGGAATCTAGGGGAGAAATCAGAAAGCACAGATGAATCCTAAAAATAGCTTCCTAGAGGGCTTGCTGCCTGTTTCCAGCATTGTCAGAAGGGCTGGTGGGTTTGAACAGTGACTCACAAGGCAAGGAGGGGCTGCAGGCCCGCCAGACCCTGGAGCTGGGGAGGGGGCAGCACAGGGGTCCAGGAGGGCAGGGCTTCCCTCTCAACACCTCACTGTGATGTTGGCCACACCTGTGCTGTGGCTATTTGACCGGCACTGGTGGGTCGTCACAGCCCAGCCAGCCCCCTGGGCCTTCCAGAGGAAGGAAGATTGTGATGGAAGCTGAGGGTCATCACTACCCCAGAGATTCCTAAAGGAGGTGGAATCTTGATGGAGGGGGTGGGGGTGATGGGTCATCCAAAGGATCTTTTAGTTCCCTCCGGGAGTTGGGGCAGAGAGCCCCTGATGTAACCTTCTCAAACTGCTTAGCCAGGCAGCCGGAGGTGGCAGGGCGAGGCAGTTGGAGGGAAGACAGCCTGTAGAGCGAGCCCCGCTTCTGCAGAATGCTTCTCCCTGTCAGAGCTTCCCGGGGAGCGGCCTCCATCCTGCGTTCCCACGGCAGGCACAGACCGCTCCACCGCCCAACCTTGCCTCACCCTCTTTTTTGGGGGAGGAGGATTTTTTTATTGTAGTAAAATATACATAACACAAAATTTACCATTTTTACTATTTTTAAATGTACAGTTCAGTGGCATTAAATACATTCACAATGTTGTGCAACTGTCACCATCATCTGTCTCCAGAACTTTTTCGTCTTTCCAATTATGAGTCTGTACCCATTAAATACTAACCCCCCATCACTCTCCCCGCACACTCCCAACCTCTAATCTACTTTTTGTCTCAATGAATTTGCCTATTCCGACAAATTCATTACCTCATATATTACCTCATGCAAGTGGAATCATACATGATTTGTCCTTTCGTTTCTGGCTTATCCTTTGTCTCACTTAGCATAGTGTCCTCACGTTCCATTCACGTCATAGCATGTGTCAGAATTTCAGGGCCTCGCCCTTTTCCAGGAGGGTTTTCTCAACCACACTCGATTTCACGGACCCTCACCCTCTATCACCACACATAATGACAAAAAGTTACCGTGAATTCGGCCTATGCTTTTAAATTATGTTTTTTAAACTACAAGAGCAGCAATGAGCATTTGCACACCACAGTTCGTGCATGTATAAGAAGTGTGGTACGGTCACTCCGCAGGCAGCTGAGAAGGCAGCAGGTTCTCAGGCCCTGGCACTGACCCCGGCCTGCACCCCACGGCTGGGGCCCACTGGTTGGTGTCTCACTGCCCAGTGCCCTGTGTGGTTCTCCAGGGGTCTCATGTGGACGTGTATCTCCAAATCCCCCACTTCACATTAGGCGGGGGAGTACCCACTGGGCTGCTCCCTCTGACCAACCACATGACTCCGGGGTAGCCAGAATAATATACAACCGCAACAGCCTTTGGAGGTTTTGAAGCTCACCCAGGCTGGGGCTGTCTTGTCATCTCCCAGCAGCGCTGCAAGGACAGAGGAGGAAACCGTTCTTCTGTTTGAACAACACGCTGTCATGCCTGCCACATACCACTAACCCAGGCCCCTTGGGTCTTGAGCTGGCCCATTTCAGAGGCCATCAGGCATGTTTAAGGATTCAGAATGGTTTTTCAACATGGGGAGACAACAGAGACCACACTGTACACCAGGCTGGAATCGTAATCCAAGCAAACCTGAACTGTGTGGCTGCCTTTGCAGTCAGGGGAGCCTCTCTCCCCTCCCCCATCTCTCTTTCCTCTTCCCTCCCAGCCCTGAGAAGTCTGGAACTCCACAAATCTGCCTGCTCTGGAAAGTGAGTGGATGGAGGAGGAGACAGTGAGTTGCCATGGTGATGGCAGCCAATGAGAGATCTTGTGTTAGTAGGGGAGGGGAGCACTCTGTCTATGTCCCCCTAGCTGACTGATAGGAGGGTGGGGCTGGGATGGGGAGAACAGACAGGACAGGACGGCAAGAGACCAGGGTCGGGGAGAAGGATAATGGGGAGGGCCGCCTCATTTCCAGGATTAGCTAGCTACCATCTGAGTATTAGCCTGTGATGGGAGATTATGTGTTTTTTCATAATGTTGTGCTGCCATCACTGCCATCCAGAATTTCTCTTCTTCCCAGACTGAAACGATGTACCTATTAAATACTAACTAACTCCCTTTCCCTCTCCCCACGATCCCTGGTAATACATAATCCGTAAATCTCACAATAGCCCTATGAGAAAGAGCTTCGCCTGCCACCCTATTTACAGGGTCAGATAGGAAAGGTAAATTGAAAACAGCCTGGCTGTCGAGTGGTGAGTCTAGATTTGAACTTTTGTAGAGGAGGAAAAATATTTTGGGGAAGAGGGAGAGGCAGTAGAGCCACGGCCCCTTGGGTCTCACCAGAGAGGAGCGTCCCAGGTCTTCCTTGAGGTGGCATAAAGCAATATGGTGATGAAACAAAGAAAGAAACGTGTGCCAAGCATTAAGTTCAAGGGATAAAGGGTGATGAGAGAACAAATGCAAGAGAGAAATCAGCAAGATCAAGCTGGGAAGTTCAGAGGGGTCGGGGCACGACCAGGGAACAGATGGAGGGAAAGGAAGATGAGCACGTGCTCCTCACACCTCAGTGTCCAAAGTTGCAGCGAGGTTCACTGAGAGAGGTCGGCAAGCAGAGGCTGTCTCTGGACCTGCTGAGACAGCTGTGGGGTGGGCCAGCTGACTGTGATCAATCCATCTAAATGCAGCAGCTAGACGTTAGTCAAAGGGACATGAGGTCCACAATGCACAGACTTGTGACTTTGTTCCGCTGACCCAACTTTCACAGCTCAGGTTGCACTGTGGCAATGACATTGGGAGGGGGCAGGTGTGGCCATTCTCTGAATCCCATGTGCTGCCTAGCTGCACATGGGGACACCATCATTTATTCTTCAAAGGGTGGAAACATGACTATCTAATGTGTGGAAACGGAGACTCTATATCCTCCTGTTGATTTTGAAGTGTGAAAAGAAGCAACAGCAAACGCTAGCAATAAATGATTGATTATCCAGAAGCCAGGCATCCAAGGGCACTCCCTGCTCAATGAATGACTCACAATCATTCACAGCCCCTGGGCCGCAGAGAGAGCCCAGTCCCCAATAGGCCCAGTCTGTCACAGGAGCAGTTTTGCTGTAGGCCCAACTGCACAGTCATCTTGGAGACCCTTCACAAACCTCTGATCTCCCCAAACCTCAGGAAATGCGATCCTAGCATTGCACAGGAAGTCAGAATATCTGGTCACTGCATGTATATCTCCTTCATTCACATCGATGGAATTTTTTTCACTGTATTAAAAAGCAAATGGATTCTTATTTTCTGCCTTTTTTTTCAGGATGAGACTAAAGTTTGGGGCATATATATATATTTGTAGAGTGTGTTGGACTGAATATTGTCAGATATTTACTTAAGACAAATAAAGATGTAAGGACTCTGCATTGTTTTTAACTGTGAACACTGTTACTTTACTTGAAAAACCCCTATGGTGACTTGTGGCACTCTTGTGACATCAGCGGCCTAGATTTTTTCAATCAACTGAATTACAAATTCAGCCAATTCGAATTTAGGCAATGCTGGATTGCTAGAACTATTTGTTTTGCTGACAATGATTTGTTATCTAAATTGTAATGGTGGTTAATATTTAGAACAATAACACATGACATTTATAAAAACATATATGAAGTGAGCTGAAACTGTAAGTCAATTACATGCCTGCCACAGAGTTTGTGCTCAATAAATGTTAGCTATTATTATGGTCATTAAAGACAAAAGTAGAATACCCATGGGTTTGCAAGTAACAGAAGCCCATTTCAAACTCGTTAACAAAACAAGATAATTTATATCAAAACTTGGCAGTAAACACACACACAGCAAAAATGGGCAAAAGATATGAAGAGACATTTCACCAATGAGGATGTACAGATGAAAATATACACATGAAAAATATGTTCAATGTCACTAGCAATAAAGGAAATGCAATTCAAGACGACAATGAGATATCACTATATACCTATTAGAACAGGTAAAATAAAAAACGACAATACCAAATGCTGGAGAAAATGCAGAGAAACCGGAACTCCCATACATAGTTGGCATGAATGTAAAATGGTACAGCCACTCCAGAAAATAGTCTGTCAGTTTCTTAAAAACAAAACAAAACAAAACAAAACAAAACAAAACAAAACAAAACAAAACACACACTTACCATACAACCCTGGAGTTGCATTCCTAGGCATTATTCCCAGAGAAATGAAAACATGTTCACACTTACCATACAACCTTGGAGTTGCACTCCTAGGCATTATTCCCAGAGAAATGAAAACATGTTTGCACAAAAGCCTGCACACAAATGTTCATAGCAGCTTTATTTGTAATAGTCCCAACCTCAAAACAACCAAAATGTCCCAACAGGTAAATGGTTTTAACAAACTGTGGTACATCTATACCATGGAATACTAGTCAGCAATAACAGTGAATGGACTATTGATATACGCAACTTCAGTGGATCTCAAGGAAATTATGCTGAGGAAACAAAGCCATTCTCAAAAAGCCACAAACTGTTCCACTTATAGGCTATTATCAAAATGACAACATTATAGAGGTGGAAAACAAATGGGAAGTTGCCTAAATCGTAATAGTGGTTAATGGTGGTTAATGAGGGACGGTGGGAGGGGGGTTGATGGTATAAGAGTAGCAGTAAGAAGATTTTTATGGACTAAAATAGTTCTATATCTTGATTACAGTGGTGGTTACACCAATCTACACATGTGATAAATGGCACACATTGTACCAGTGTCAATTTCCTGGTTTGAAATCCTACTAGAGTTATGTAAGTCATAACCATGGGAGAAACAGCGAAGGGTACATGGGACCTCTCTGTGCTATCTTTGCAACTTCTTCTGGATCTACAATTATTTCAAAATTAAAAGTTTTTTTTCTTTAAGGCAAAGGGAATGTCAGGAATATTTCGTGGAACCCAAAGCAGGGCGGAACCCCTCCTCCCAAGAAACAAGAACCAGGAAAGCAATTATGGTCCCCACCCCTTTGCCACTTCCTTCCTTTCTCTTTGTAGATGCCCCTCTGCTGCTCCGTGCATGTGGCTGCCTCACAGCCGTGAAGGATCCTGTCGCCATCTGGCAATCACTGGAATCCTTTGTACTTGAGCCACACAGGGAAATCCATTAGCTCTCTCTTTGATTCAATTCAAAATTCCCAGAAAAACAAAATTAACCATCCCTGTCTGGGCCAGGATTCCATGCCTTGTCCCATGGCAGTGGGGTCACATAGCACAGACCTGCCTGCCAACACGAACACCTTCACCTCCCCCTCATTGAGACCTTGATCCTAAGTCATGCCCTTTCTCCTTCAAGACAGTCCCCAGCTGGTCTGGTCTATGGAGGAATGATAAAATCTGACATCTATATTCCACCTGATAAAGAACGTGGGGAGAAAGACTGGACAATAGCCGCAAAGCTCCCATAAAAATTAAGAAGGAAGGGACCAGGCAGAGCCACGGATTACCTAGCACCCAGCAAAATGGAGCTCAAGGCCATGAGCAGATACACCAGCTCAGTGAACCTGGCTGTCTTCCCCCATCTGACCATGGTGCTGTGGGCCATTCACATGTTCTCCACTGCCTGGTTCTTCATTTATGAGGTCACCTCCACCAAGTACACTCGGGACATCTACAAACAGCTCCTCATCTCCTTGGTGGCGTCACTCTTCATGGGCTTTGGAGTCCTCTTCCTGCTGCTCTGGGTCGGCATCTATGTATGAGCTCCCAAGGGTTCCAACCAGGCATCTTCACTGAATCCCTGCTTTTGTAAATTAATTTTTTTGCTGTTGCTGGAAGTGTTCCAGGTGCTCTAAATGCAGCTCACAATAAAGGTGGACATGTGGGGGTGGGGCAGGGGCGGAGGAAAGGACCTGCAAGAAGGCAGCCACGTGTTGATTGCTTGGTATCCGACAAAGCTCGTGGCTATGTGTGGTGACTCCTGCAGGCACATGGAGAAGCTCCTTGGTGAGCCAGTGTAGCTACTCCAGGTTCTTGTCCAGGGTCCTCTAGGGCCAACCCGGGGAGGAGATTGGGCAGGAATTGGTTGTGGGGCATGTGACACTTTCTGAATGGAGCTGACAGCCTCTGAGCTTGGGCCTGGGCTTGCCCGAGGGACTGAGAAGCCGGTGGTTTGGGTTTGTCCAAAGACTCGGTTTCCCAGGATTGAGATTTTCCTGGCAGCATAGTGCTTGTAAAACCTTAATTGGCAGCCCTTTGATTTAATACAGGGAGTCTTGATTTGCTGGAAGTTTTTTCTAGATAGCTTGCTAAGCTGGTCAGGCAGAGACGGGCGATGTCTGAGGGGCTTCAGCCTCTTAGAAGGACACCTGCCCATATTTTCTGCCTCATGGGTTTCACCTTAGGGTCTGCCTCGCCTCATTAGGCTAGTAGGGCATCCCAAACTTGGTCTTAAAGTGTGCTGCACAGTGGTAGGAATCGTCACCTCTGTCTGGCAAGAGGATGCAGCAGACAGACTTGAAAAAAACATCAAAGGATCAGGTTCCCCAACAACCTTGATGTGACCCAGATGTCCTTGTTTCAATGGCCAGGACCTCACTGCTTCATAATTGGTGTGCCATATTTAGTTCTCAACATAGGTGGCTGCACAGAATATTAGGCATTGCAGCTCCATAAGTCCTATGATGAATTTCGAGAATGAACTCGAAGTGCTCTCAGCTCCTCTACCATAGGCAGAAAGAACTGCCAGGAGCAGAATTGCATAACTGACCTGTTTTCCCCTATTCACTTTAAGCCAAGTGCCTCAGACTGGTTCATGTCTCCCATGTACCTTACTGAAGTCCCAGGGAGAGGCTGGCACAGTCGGACATTCTTTAAGGTGGCCTTTCAAGCCCTCTAAAGCCTCAGCCTCTGGAGGTAAATTGTCCAAGTCCCCAAAACAACTGACCTTAATGTCACCAGCTGCTCAGTCTGTGTTCCATGAACATTCCTTCCCGTCCCAGAAAGGTGGACTCCTTATTGTCCCCAAGCCCAGAAATGGGCCAGTTATGTGGTTATGTGCTGCTTCATTTCCTAGTAGCAGGTTGCATCTTATTCAGAGTCTTTTGGCTGCAAATTAACAGGAAACTACTCTAAATTACCTTAAGCAAAACCAGGAAGTCCATTCAAGTTTACAGGGACATCACGAAGAAAACCAACACGAAAGGACAGCTGGACTGGAACTGGGAACTGGGAGCTAACAGAATCTGGGCAGTTGTCTTTCTCTCTTCTCTCTTCTCTCTCTCCCCGCTCCCTCTCTTCCAGTCTCCCTGTCTCCTTCTCTCCTTTTCTCTGTATGTGGATGTGGGTCCAGCCCCTAGCACCACTTGGTCACTCATGTCCACCTCTGCATCTATCCACAAATCTATTTCCTTCCATCTCCATGACAGACTCTCTGTTTTCTGAGAGCACCATAGCCATCCCATATTGCTTGGGGTGACAGAGAGACTAACTCACTCTCTTTCAATGCCAAGTTCAAATGTCCAGACAAGAGAACTCATCTGGCCCAATTTCAGTCAGGTATGTGTGTCTGATGGCAAGGATTTTAGCCAGGGGGTAGGCTGCCTAGTGAGAATTTGCATGGAGTAGGGGTACTGTTCACAGAGTGGGCATTGTGAACAGAGAGAGCAGAGCAGACATCCCACACGGGTTCTCCAACCAGGTTAGTGACTAATAGTAAAGCGGCAATATTGTGCTCGTTGCCTTTGAACAAAAGGTAACTGCCAACTGCAGAACATTTGAATTGGGTTTCACAAAAAGACAAAAACTGGGGACAGGAAGAGTGTTTGTCTTATGCATATCTTGGCCTCTAGCACTACACTTGTTTCTTCCGTAGTGCAGAATTTCCAGAGGTTGAACCCCCCAGAGAAGGAGCTAAAAAGGATGCTTTAAACACAGGATGTCAGAAGGGTTGGGGGCTGGGAAATGTGAGGGCCACCTGTCCCGTCAGTCAAGGTCACGGCTGGCCAGCCATTGCGTTCTGCCTGCTATGTGCTACTCTGTGTGTGGATGGTGCTGTTACCAGGGGACTGGCATCACGTCTGGCTCCTCCTGGCATGTCCCTTCCTTGCTCCACTCAGGAGCACAGAGAAAACAGTGGGGAAAGGATCAACTAGCTCTCCCCTGCAGAGTTTATGTTCAAGGGACTTAGAAGACTGTAAAGGTAGGTTTAAAAGAAGGATGGAACAGGAAGAAACACATATATCTCGCCACAATGACAAAAGGCCAGGGTGACTGTCATTCACTACGTAGGTTAGGCTCAGTCTTGTTCCGTTCAATGGCTTCAGAACCATTATAGGATTATAGGCCAATAAACAGGCCAAATTCAGACCAAGTAAACTTGAAGATATATTAGCTCATGAAAAATCAATTTGTATCCTAAAATCCAAGGAAATTAGAAATACCCAAAAGCAGAAAGCCAATGGCATTTTCATTTATTATTATTATTTAATTTATTATTTATTATTCTTGCAAAATAAATAAGACATCAGAAGAAAATAGAAACACAAATTAAAGGTGGGTCCTGAAGGAGGAGGCAGAGATTTTGAGCTAACTTGAATATGTATTAGAAAATATTTTATTTCTGTGTGTTTACTTTCTAGAAAGAATGAATATTGGTTTGCTCGTTAGAAGGAAACAACTCACATTTTAAACAGATTTTCTTATTTTTCTAGAAAGAAATTGGCTTCCTATCTAGACAGATTTTTCTTAATTAAACTTGGGTTGTCATGTATGATTTCGTTTATGCTAAATTCTAAGAAAGATAGATCTCATCTGCAGTGATGGGATGGCAATCAGGGGCTGCCAGGGGCTGGGTGGGGGATGAGGATTATCTGGGGAGGAGCACAAGGGAACTCTGGGGTGATGGGAATGTTCCAGATCTTGATGGTGGTAGTGATGGCATGGGTTAATGTATTTGTCAAAACCCACTGAACTTAAAATGAGTTTATTTTATTGTTGGTAAATTATATCACAATAATGTGATTTAACAAAAAAAAACCAAAAAACAAAAAAACCTACTCTGTGGGAATGGCAGAAGAAAGAAATTATAAAGAGTGTCTTCCACCAAAGCTGGGTACTGTCCTCCTGGAATCAAACTGGTACACCCTTCATTTTCCCCAAAAGGAAAGTGGGTAGTTTTAAAAGAGAGAGTCTTGAAAGGAGACAATGGTTGGCTTGCATTTGGATGAGGGAACAGGGTTTCGCTAGGAGGCCAGCAGTGGGAAGAGTATGTCAGGCTGAGTGATGAGCATGCGTAAGGCACTGGCTTTACTGAGTTGTGTATTCAGCGAACTCTAATAATAAAATCATCGTGAAGATGAAGAAGCAAGACCTGTGAGAGGCAACCAATCATTCCTGGATGAAAACCATGGCCGATCCCACGATTTCCTGCTTATGCTCTTCTCAGTTCCTAAAGCAGCCTCACAGGTAATTAGTATGTCCCTTCAAAATTTCCAACTTTGTTAGAATTTACCACTTTCTCCCCACTCCTGCCTGAGTGTGTTTGGGGCTAGAGTCAGCTCCTTCTCCACCCCTCTGCCTTGCTTTCTTCCCCTCCTGCTGGATTGGGATGATGGCGTGGGAGAAGGGAGTGGGAGAAGCAGGGGCTCTGAGGATGCCTCAGTCCTGATGAGGAACTGGTGCTCTGGCCTTGCAGGTGTTCGGAGCTGACCTTTCCCTCGGAGCACTTTGGAGGGTTTTGCGAAGAGCCTCCCATACCCCATTTCCAGCATCTCTCACTTGCAGCTCCCTTGCAGTGGGTGGGTGGGCGCCTCTCTAGCTGATTGCTCTGGGCTCTAGCAGCCCCTGGGTAGGGGAAGTAAGTCCATGCCAGCTTCAAGGGGCTCCTCTCCCTTCAAGGTTTTGACAAAACTGGGCGTGCGCAGGCTGTACCTGATGCAGCAGCCTTTCTACTCTGCAATCAAAGCAGGTAACCGCCCCCAACTCTAATTCCTCAGGCATTAGTCAGACGCCAGCCCACTGTGACCTCCAAGCTCCAAAGGTCACACGGGAAGTATTCCAGGTGGTCCGGGTGAAATTCCTTTCCTTAGTCCTGGAGTAAGAGCAAGGGACGTCCTTCACTCCCCATGGTCATGGAAGCACAGGAGGGGGGCTGGGAGGATTGGGAGGGAAGAGGGGACCCACAGCACCCTGACAGCACTCCTCAGAGAAATTCTTCTATTAATTCCAGGCCTGCCCTTGGTTTCCCAACTTCTCTTATAAATTGGGAAAAAGGGAGGTCAGCTGAGGTTTGGAAAACAGACTGCCAGTCTCTTTTACATGCCCTGCATCAGGTCCCACTCCTCTCTTTAGAATGTGGGAGTGGTTGGCCCTATTTTCTTGGAGTCTCAGCCTAAAATAATATCAACAGAAGTGTCAGCTACTACATACTGATTCCCACAAGGGTCAGGCACTCTGCTAGATTCTTGACATAGATTAAGTCATTTAATTTTCACAATAAAGCTACATGTTGGGAATAACTATTATTATTTTACAAATGAAGGTTATCTGACTTGGCCCAGGTCACATTGCTCAGGAAGGTTATCTGACTTGGCCAAGGTCACATTGCTACCCACAGGATGATGAATTCAGGTGTTCTTGTTTCAAGACTCTAGGCTGTGCTGGACCCAGGAGTAGGTTGATACCGTGGAAACAAAGTCCATGAACACAAAAGCTTTGGAGGAGTTTACAATGCAGACAGTACAGGTTTGACCCCATTCTCTTTCCAGCCCCACCCTTTCCTGCTAGTCCTTCCTTCTTCCTATGGGACACCCCTTGCCTTCCCCATCCCACCCCACTCCTCTGTGGCCTCAGGCAGAATATTGACAC